AGTGGAGTGTAAGTCTGTGGACATATCCAGGCTAATTTTGTTGGTCCTTTGTATAATAAATGTAAAATAGTATTCCAGCTATTGTGCAATATGTAAATACTGTAAATAAACACAAGTAATAAATGAAGTGTTTGTTATAATGAATAGTCTTCAGAGTGACTCTCTACCTCTCTAATGAGTTTATTGTTGGGAATTCATGTTTTACAGATTTACTGAGAGATCATTACACTGGCAAAAGGTCACAGAATATAAAAGGCATAAATAAATGAAACTTGAAGCCTGAGAATTTCTGTAAGGGATAATTAGTATTTTTTAAAGTAGAGGCTACTATATATTGGTGACATAATTTCTTAAGATAGGCCCTGATTTGCTGGGAGATATTCCAAACAAGGTTGTATCCATTATTTCCCAAGCGATTTTGTAATCATGAAAATGCTAAACTAAGAGGAAGCTTAGTCTAAGCAGTGTCAAAATTTTACATGTAGACTTACTTTAAACAAATCTAACCAGATCCCATGTAAGAAGCTGCATTCAGCAAAGCAATGGGTTTCTCTGTTCAATGCCCTTGTCGGCACAGTATTATCTGGGAACAGCCATCAAGAAGTCAAGAGTGCTAGGATTTGTTTGGGGATCTGTATTTTATATAGATTAACATTTAAGAAAAACTGTAGGATTTTATTTACAAACATAAAAGAAGAGTACGAAATTTTGAGTTTGAGATTATTAAAAGCAATTACTGAATGAAGAGAACAGGGTATAACTTCTGAAGTGATGTTATGTAATCCTGTTTTCTAATTATAGCTAATTACTTGACCTTTTCTTGCCAACTTTTTAAGGATATCACATTCAAATATCCACTCTACTCATAATCCCCTAAGATTTCTGCATGTCTAAGTAATTCCAACAAGAGCAAGACTCACTGGGTTTTCGAGCTTTCTTCCTGTGAAGACAGCCTGGCACTTCCACGTGGCACCATGGGGAAACTACTCACTTTCATCTGGCAGCAGTTCATCCTCCAGGCACGAGTGAGTCAGGGATCAAACGTGTCTCCTCTCCCCAGCACTGCATGGGACCCTCAGGATACTGAGGTCCAGTCCTGGCCAGGCAGCTGTGCGTACTGCACAGGAGGGCTCAGCATGGGGCAACGTTTTTAGAGGATGGTGTTGGGCAAGGGGGTTTTCCAGCTGCAGGACCTCAACCTTCTTTCAGAAACCAGACATTATTATATGGGGCAGCAATGTGCTTATTTTCATCATTTATCCTCATCCTGAAGATAAATATGCACACATAACATCACAGATCATATAAAAAGGAAAATACGTTTTCAAATGCTTCCTTGTCAATAAAAATCAGGCAGACACCAGATTCATATCTCTGGCTGTATTTTTATAAATCCCGTTTATTTTGAAATATTCGTATGATTTTGACATTAACTCAAAATACACAGAAATTACTTGTATCTGCCTATACATTTAGAATAATACTTAACAATCAATATTTATGCATGCCAAATAAAACTTTTCCCAATTTTTAAAATTATTTTTAAAAATAAGCCAATTTATATTGGACATTTGGGTTATGCGTGCATATAAAAGTCGTATTCCTCAGCTAGTCTAACTGACCACAGATAGACTAGCATACAAGTGTCCTTCTTTCTGGATGGAATTAAGTTTCAGAGGCAAAGTGGTTCAGATGGGAGCAAATGAGCTGACCTCCTCATGAAGTAAACTCGACAAAATCAAGAAGTATTAAAGGTGCTAATGACTGATTCCATACATCTTTCTGTCTTCTCTATCTTTTCAATATACAAGTATGCACTATGGGTGTGTATAAATTAAAACACTTCTATACTGTGAGCTCCTACGGAGGGGCTACTGTGAATACATAAAAGGCCCTAGGGAAGAGAGAGGTAGCGCAGGGGAGCAGAGGGCACCTGCCCTCCATCAGGCCATCCACACAAACCTACCGAGGAGGTAGACTCGATGATCTAAGTCTCAATGGGCTTAGATGTTGACCTGGACCTTCAAGTGGGGTTTTCCTTCATTGTATTTTATGTTGTTTGTTCAACTATTTTTGTAATTGGGGCAAAGTGAGATGTTCAACTAGTCTAAGAATGCTTTATATACCCCATAAACTGTCTGAGTCAAAGGTTTTTATTTATTCTTCTGCCAATCACAACTGATTTCCACCTAGAATTATTTTGTAAGGTAAGAAACAGTTAAGTCAACTGAACAAAGAGCTGGGGCTTTGGGCTCTGGAACATTATTACACACTGACTGGGAAACGCAGGGCCTCAGGGTGGGGTCTAGTCAGGCTGGCTGCAGCAGGGCACAAACCTGCCTCAGTGGGCCTTCTCCAAGAACGCTGTGCAGCACCTGACACACTGCTGGTACACCGCCTCAAAGTCAGAGTCATTCCCCTAAATGGACAGGAAAGAGAAGAAAATGGCAAAACCTGAATAACAAAAACATCCTTAAGACAGTCTAATCTGTTATTTAATGTGGCAGAATATAGACGTGTTGGGTCTTCATACTATAAAACATAAACTGTACTTACATAATAAGGATCTTCAATAATAAGTTGTTTTTGTGGATCATAGCTCCCAAGTAGTTCAATTTTAGCTTTGCAGGTTTTAACTTGATTACTTTTTCTATTCAAATCTCTGTAAAATTGAAACATGAACTTAGTTTTCTAATCTATGGTTTCAAGTTAAACAGGGACATCTGTTAGGGTCTTAGGAAACGTCCATATCAAAATCAAGACAGAGTGACCTGATTTGAAATGAAGCAGAACACACGGCAGGCCTGTGCGGCCCTTTCTACAGCTGTATGCCACCGCCCTCTCTCTAGGCAAGAGAGCTTGCAACAGCAGCTTATTCTTACTGATTTTGTTACACAAAATATTCAGTAATTATATTTTCTCCCACAAAATACGTTTTGAGACAATCAACCAAGTTTCAGAGAAGAAACAAAGGTGATAGGGACCTAAAACACATGAGCCAGCCCCAAAACAAAGGGCTACCAATTCCATCCTCAGGTGTCTTGACACAGCACTTCCTGCAGCATGACCCATTCCTTAATTACTCTTCCTTCTTTTATTCCTCAAGCCTCTGCCCAAGCTGAAAACTCAGCTTCACTCTAGACTTCCACCTTTAGCTTTCACATTGCTACAAAAGAAAAAGGCAAACTTAACTAAGCGCCTCCATTAATTTAACAAATTTCAACTGAGCACCTGCGACAGATGAGTCGATGAGTCAGGCATGTGCTTTACGTGGGAACGGAACAGCCAAGTGCTCCGGTGCATGAACTTTCTCCGGTGCACGAACTTTTACAGCTCAAGAGTAGGTGCAGGAAGAGAACTGAGGGCACACCTAAGTCTAATGCACAATCTGGCCTACTGACAGGGCAGCGGAATACCTCTATAAAGAAATGAATTTCAGTTGACCCATGAGGGGCAAATAGGAGCCAAATGGCCCAAGCAGCAAGGAGGAGCTTCCAGGGAGAGAAGGGCACAAGCAAACGTGAGGCTGCAGGAGTTCCGCTTGCCCCACACAAATAAACACGGTGCTCAGTACCAGTCAAGGCACATGGAGTCTTCTAACAAGGTTTTTTTTTAACGATACCTATAAGCTATGGTGTCAGGGAAAACAATGAGAACAGAGTAAGGACTGAAAAATAGAAATATAAAAATGCATGCATTTTAATAAAAGGCCTAATTAATAAAAAAATAAAAACTATTGCATCCCTATGTGTTCAATTGTACAAAAGTAATTAAAAGCATAGTTTATCTTCATCAAAAACATTTAGTATTTATGAATAAGTGGCGATGCAAGTTAGAATCTTGGACTTACAGTAAATCATGATTAGTTCCTCATGGCGCCATAAGCAGGGGACTGGGGCGGGTGCATATGGCAGGGCCCTGTTTCACTGCACCTAGGCTTGAATCCCACCACATCCACACACTAGCTGTGTGAACTTGGGGACATAACAACAAACTTGTTCTCATGCACAGCAATGTGCCTGATACAAAACTATCACAGCCAAGCTAGTTCTCAGATCAAATCATGCTATTAATAACTGGACTTTCCTTTTCTAAGGTGTATCTCCTTTTAAATACCTATGAGACAATTTTAGATTACTAAATTTTTTGCTGTTCTAAATAAATAGAGACCATCACTGACTATTAAAAACTTTAAAATAATAGAAAAAGTAAATTTGGAAAAGAAATTACTTGGCCTACTACTGAATTGAGAGTTAAACAGAAACATTCTTCAGAAACAGGATTACCTCAGATTGCTTTCATCCATACATAGTATATAATCAAATGTGGCAAAATCTTCTTTGGTAATCTAAAATTGAATAAAGAAGTCAAAATACAGTATTTATATTTATACCATTCAAGCCTAGAGGATGCAAAGCAGTACTAAAAGAAAAAAAAAAAACTGCTGTATTTGTGCTTGTTACTCACTATCTAATTAAATAATTTTGAGGGTACTTTTCAGTTAAAATAGAGTTAACCTAGTTCCCAAAATTGTACTGCAAAGAAATTTTGTATTATGAAGTTCCATAAAAGAATCATACAATAGTATAATGTGTAGACACAATGTTTACACATCAGCTTCAATTCCTTACTAACAATGTATAATACAGTCGAAGTACTGAAATGTCACATATTTAACCCCTTCATTACTCATTTTTCTTGCACAAGCACTGAACGTCCTGGGCCCCAGTGACAAACACCAAGCCAAGCGGACAGAGCCTGTCCTGTGGCACTGCCCTTCCACACGCAGGAGGCACAGATGCCTTGGAGGGAAGAAAGCAGAGAGGCGGTACAGACAGCTTCGGGGCAGGGAGGAGGAGGAGTGTTAGGGTGGTCAGAGGTGCTCACTAAGAAAGAAACACAGGAGTAGTAACCGATAATCCTTTATTCTGATCGAAGATCCATAATTTAAACCTGACACAGAAGAGAATGCCACTCAGTGTTTCTACTGATTATAACCTGAAAGCTTATCATTGTTTTCTGACATAATCTATAAATACGCCTACTTAAAATATAAATGAAAAAATTGTTTTGTGAATTTCGACTACTATAAATAAATGCAGAATAAGAAAGAACAGAAACATACCTACTGCAGAACAAAGGTGGAAAGTTTAAGTTTCCTAATAAACTTGTTCTTTTAAACAATGAGAAGCTTTGGATTTAGTATGCACTTCCAATCACAGAATGGGCTGTACTTTGTCAACACTCCCATGACACTCACTTATTTCAAAATCTAGAATGAGTGTCATACTGACTTTTTTCTCTTTTTTGTTTTTAGAGAAAAGGTCTCACTCTGTCACCAAGACTGGAGTGTGGTGGCAAGATCACGGCTCACTGCAGTCTCAATCTCTTGAGTTCAAGCCATCGTCCTACCTTGGCCTCCCAAATAGCTAAGACTACAGGCACATGTTACAGCACCCAGCTAATTTTTTAACTTTTTTTTCATAGAGATGGGTCTCACTATGGTGTCCCGGCTGGTCTTGACCTCTCAGGCTCAAGCAATGTTGAGCCTCCCAAAGTGTTACTAGGATTGTGAGTGTGGCCCACCATGCCTGGACAGTGTTATGTTATTTCTCCAAATTAAGTTACGTGAGAAACGCTCTAGGATTTAATACTAAACTCGTTCTAAATTCTGGACTAATTGTAAGTTTTCCATTAAAAAAAAAAAAAAAAGACAGTAACTGTTACATGATTTTTAGATGTTACAATAATTGAGAAAGAAAAGAAACAGCTATAATTTAAGTAACAAATACACAGTAGTGGATTTCCACTTGCAACTGTAAATGAACCAGCTTGTGGCAAATCATTCCTACTATGAAAAACAACTAGAAACCCCATATAAATCACCAAAGCCCCTCCAAAACCATCAGAGTGCTCCAGTGACAATCAGGCTTTGTGGGCCACACAGGCTCTCTAGCTCTGCTGCTCTAGCATAAAAGCAGCCACACACTACAGGTGAACTAAAAAGTCTGGCTGTGTTCCAATAAACACTTCACAAAAAAGGTACAGGCCCCAATCTGCAGACTCCTGCCACCTGCCACTTCTCTTCCCGCTAAAACTGGGCACTGACGAGGCCTCAGAACAGGGATCTCAAATGACTCAGTAGCAGAACTCTTTAACTCTTTATGTTATGGTTTGGATGTGCCCCCCAAAGTTTCTGTGTTGGAAACTTCACCCCCAGTGCAACGGCAGTGAGAGGCAGGACCTTTAAGATTAATGCCACTGTCTTGGGAGTGGGCTCCTGACAGTGATGGATCCTTTCTCTCTCCTGTGTCCCTCTCCTGTTTTTCTAGCTCTTGCTCTTGCCCACTCTGGGGCACTCTCTTGACTCCTCCACTTTCTCCCACAGGATGATGCAGCAAGAAGGACCTCGCAGCCCCTTGAGCCCCTTGACTTTGACTTCACAACCCAACTCTAAGAAATAAATCCCTGTTTGTTGGAAATTATCCAGTCTCAGGTACTGTTAGAGCAGCGCAAACAAAGATAAACAACAAAACAGAGGAAAAAAAACAGAAAAGGAAAGCAGACTCACGAACAGTCCGTAATGAGATCTGCCACTGTATATGAAGCAGCTATGAGAGTATGTTCAAGAAAACATAGAGCATGATATAGAATTTCACCAGAAAACTAGAATCTACAAAAAGAAAAAAGAACAAAACTTAAAGAATTAAGTAAATAACAGACAATCTTTATGTTTGAAAACAGCAGAAAGACTCATATATCAGAAAACAGGTCAGCAGAAAATGTCAGACTGAAGAAGAGTAAAAAGGATAAAAAATAAAACAGTATAAGACATATATGTTCACTATACACGTTAGGCGAATCTCAGGAGAAAGGAGAAAGAAAAGTACAATATGAAAAGATAACAACCGGGGATTTTCCAAAATTGATGAAAAACATCAAGCCACAACTTCAGGATCGTATCTGGCCTACCACACCGAAACTACTGAAAACTAAATACCGAAAGAAAAACTGAAACACTGCCAGAGGAAATAACAGACAACAAAAAGACAACCCATTAGATTAATTTTTCAAACGATAAGCAGAAATACTATCAATCTTCAATCACTTTTTTAGAGAAAAAAAGAGGGAACATCCCCAATGTATTTTATGAGGCTGTGCACCCGGCTACACTGTGTCTGCTGGGCGTGACTCCAACAGAACCACACACAGGTGTGCACCGTGACCCACAGCAGCACTATCTGCAGTAGCCCCAAACTAGAAACCACCCAGACCCCCACTAAGAGTAGAACGGACCAACTGAGAAATGATACAGTATCCAGCAATGACAATCATATTGCTACAATCAACACAGAGATTCTCACAAGAAAAAAAAAAAAAGCTGACAGACAACAGTATGTACTATAATTCCACTTCTGTGAAGTTAAAAAGTAGAACAAATTTTTTTGTGGGGACCTCTGAAGGAGTAGGGAGAGGGCTGCTATGGGACGTCAGGGTTGTACTCACAATCTGTGTACACAAATCAATGCAGTTTACTGAAAAGATAAAATAATGTATAATAAAGTAAAAAAAAAAAAGTCTCCTTTGAACTACCTGGGCAGAAAGCTCATGTACTCTAAAAGACTGACTGTAGGAGTTAAAACGAAATAGGCACCCTAAAAATATTTCATTAAGACACTGAGAAAATTGAGATTTTAAGAAATGTACAATAATCATCACATAAATTGTGACACTGGTAAAGGAAAAGAACTTGTAAACATGACAAAGCTCTGATGTGATACTAACTCATAAAACATACCTTAAAATTTTCTTAAAAGAAAAAGGAAAAGCAAAAAACACATGCAAATACTGATTCCAAAACTCGAAATTAAAACTGTTCTTCAAAAAAAGTTTCTAATATGTATTTAAAATACTTGATTTGCATACACTCTTATTATATACTTAGTGTATAAAAAAAATCTGACTTTAAAAACATAAAACTTGGCCGGGCGCGGTGGCTCAAGCCTGTAATCCCAGCACTTTGGGAGGCCGAGGCGGGTGGATCACGAGGTCAAGAGATCGAGACCATCCTGGTCAACATGGTGAAACCCCGTCTCTACTAAAAATACAAAAAATTAGCTGGGCATGGTGGCGCGTGCCTGTAGTCCCAGCTACTCAGGAGGCTGAGGCAGGAGAATTGCCTGAACCCAGGAGGCGGAGGTTGCGGTGAGCCGAGATTGCGCCATTGCACTCCAGCCTGGGTAACATGAGTGAAACTCCGCCTCAGAAAAAAAAAAAAACAACAAAAAACATAAAACTTGCAAGTATAAGCACGCATAATTCTGAAAGACTGCTTCACATAAATCTATTTTCAACAATGGCCAGTAGAAACTGGCAAGGTAAGCAAAAGCCTGAAGAGATTAGGATGGACAAATTGTATAAAAATGTTTAATCGCCTGACCAATGAGAATTCCATTTCAGAAAAGGTCAGTAGTCCTAGAGTACTTCATTTAAATAAAGAACTCTTAGAAAATCAACTTCAGCTTCTAATTTATAATATACATACAAGGTTATCTTCATTTGAAATTGCAGAATTTGGTTGTGACTTTATTAGACTGCAAACTTGAGTGTAATTATGTGTCAATAATGTTGTTGGTATTACCCTATGCTACCAAGGCACTTCACAGTTGAAAAAATGTTTTTGCATATAACTTAATTCTAGCAACAAACTCGTAATACAGGCAGTATAATTACTATGGCCTAAATGTTTAGTAAAAATTATGCAGGAAGGAACAGAACACAGAGCACTGCTTAGCCCCAGCTCACAGTCAGGCTCTCTCATTATAAATTAGCTGGCTTTCATGTACATTTTAATAGGTAAATTCCAAAATCATGCAAGTCTTTCAATACTGTGCAACCAGAAGTGAAACAAAATGGACACTGTAGCTGGTTAAACTTACCCTAAATAAACACATTCATTACTAGATAAGTCTGGTTAATCTTTTTCACTACTTATCAAGTTACTGGACTCTACATATTAGAAATTGAACAAGAGCTTGTCTACCTGTCTTGCTTTATGGGCTGTGTGAATGCCATGATTTCTTAGGCAGCTCACAGCTCTTGGGTCTGGGGACCGGCCCACGTTCCAGTCAGAAACAGCACCACTGTCAATGACCCACTGAAACACAAAACACACAACTTCAAGTCCAAGGACGGTACCTGCCGGGCAACGTGGCTCATGGGAATGCCGTGCCTCTTCATGCAGTTCTGCCCTCGGTAGTCAGGGGGGTTCCCTATCTCATACCCGGAAGTCGCCGCGCTGTCTACCCTCCACTGCAGGGGAAGAAACATGGAATTTTTTTTTTTGGCAATTTCCTGCCCAGGAGTTAAGGTTGGTCTCTTTAAGATAATGAATGGTACTTACGTTCACTGAGATGTTTTGATCAGTTACAAGTTTCCTGAAAACTGCTTCTGCAATGGGTGATCGACAAATGTTACCTTTAAAAAAAAAGGGGTGACAGAGGGTTAGGTTGGATGGAAGGGGACATGCCAACTCCCCTTTTTCACACACCTGACACGCAGGGACCATGCTATCCCTCAGGAAAAACAAAGGCCGACACTATCCTTTGACACCTTTGTCCACAGGAGGGTAGTCCCTCCTGAAGAACAGCCCATCAGGCCCAAGTTCAGTGATGTGACACCAACCGGCCAAGTATAAATAGATGACAAACATATCTAAAAAAAACAATTTTAGCCAAAATTATTGTTTAAAGAGTTGCTACTAATGATCCAGGAGTGAGCCATGAAAATAAAGTGTGTTGTAACCGGCTTATTTTAAAATGAAATAACAGAACAAAATTAAAATACAGTGGTATGTCCCTCACTAGACACAGGGAGCTGGTTCAGGACACCCTCCCACCCCTACCCACTATAACAAAATGTGCAAACGCAGGTCCCATAGCTGGCTCCTGTTTGATCTGGAGCCCAAGTATAGGAAGTCGGCCCTCTATATAGATGGGTTTCTCCTTCAGAGAATATGGTATTTTCCATCCACGCCTGATTAAAAATATCCCTCGAATCAATCCCTCCAAGTTCAAACCCCTATTGTTCAAGGGTCAACCATATGTATTTTCAAGTATATCACAAATAAGGATGAATATTGTTACAGAAAACAATACACAAACATGCATTTAAGCATAAACAGCAATTCAACACCAACATTTACTGAGCAATCACGTGCAGAAATCCCTGAGTCCAGAGGATACAGATCCAGGCATCAGCAGCCAAGGTCAGGGACACCACTCTCCAGACCGCGTCTGACACCAGGGCCACCCTTACTTCAGACCAGCAAGTGAGACATCCAGGCTCCCAAGAACTCTCTCAGGTTGATAATTCCCTACCATTACTCCAAAAAAACTCAGCAAAGCAGAACATTTACCGTTACAATTTCATTACAATAACAGCAACAACAACAATAAAAAATTAAAACCAACCAAAGCAAGTGACCCACAGGGCACATTCTGGGAGGTTTCCTAACAGGTAGCTCCACTGTCCTCTGGGACACCTTACCCTGCTGTCATCAACATGGGATGATATTCAAAGAGCACTGCCAACCCAGGCAGCTCCTCAGAGCCTTGGTGTTCTGCAGCTTTACTGGGGGTTTTGGAGGGAGACACAGGGTGCTGAATCACTGGCCATCCAGGCTCCTTCCCCTCCCACACATGGCTCACAGCCCCCACCCTGAGTCATCTCATCAGCATACATAATGGGGGCCACCTTGAATAACTAAGACACTCCCATCACTCCTAGAAACCTCCAAGACATTTAAAGGTTACCTCCCAGAATCCACGGCAGGGCCAAATTCCTTACTACCCAGAGGAAAAAGACATAAGACTTCATCTCAAAATAGATATACCATATGTAAGCAATGTACTTATAGGAGATATACAGTTGGCTATCATAAAAGTAGAAACATGAATGCTGATAAGCAATATACTACAGTAGCACAGAAAAAGAACGATGCTACAAAGAAAAAATAAGATAAGAAAATTTCTTATCAGAAAAAAGATTAGAGATGATATTTAAAGGATGATCAGGATCTTAATGGACAGAGGAAGGGAAAGCCATTTAACTCAAGGGGATTGTGGCACTAAGTAGGTAAGGCTGCGATGCTTCAGGTACAGAGAGCAAGTGTTGGGAAACTGATTGGCTGGTATACGAGAGCCTGAGAACACTGGGCCAAGATTTGGACTTTGTGTAGCCACTATGAAGAGAAACAAAGTCCTACGGAAAGGGGTAATATAACTTATTCAAACACATTTTGCATGCCCACTCTTTATGTGCCAAGCACTGTGCCCTAGCCTGAAGATAGAGCATTGTTTAAAACATAAACCCCTCCTACAACTTACCAAAATGACTGGCAGGGCTAAGGAAATACTAGAAGGGCATATGACTGAATTGGAAAGACCTTCTAAGAGGCTCGTGCGAAGGAGCAAATACAAGACAGTGTCAGAGTGGAAAGGTGTGGCAGCTTTCCTCACCTATCATAAAGGTCATGGAAGATACTCCTGTAACAAAGGACAGGTTAACAAGAGAAAAGCTAACAAATTTATTTAATCAAGTTTTATGTGACATGGAAGTCTTCAGAAATGAAGACCCAAAGACCCACGGAAACTGTTTTTATGCTTAGATGCCCGATAAACAGCCACATATAAATGGGACTGGACAAAAGGAAATGATCCACTGGAGTAAACTGAGCAGGGAAACCCAGCAGGCCCGCAGCGTTTCCTACCCCAGGAATGAAGCAGGACCCCACTGCAATGGTTTCTTCAAGAGAAGGCAGAAGGGAGAGAGTGACCTTTCCAGGTTTTATGGCTTGCTTTGGGGTAGAGGAGTTCTAGTTCCTATGATACACCTTGGGGAAGGTGAACAATGGTTTCTATGACCTTGCTTCTGGGGCTGCTGAGGCCTTCCGGTCTCTTTCATGCCAAAGCACCATACTAAGTCCAAACATTAGGAACTGAATTAAGGAAATAGATAGGAAAAAGAGGAACTGTGAGAAAAGACAGCACTAAATAAGAGTTTCCTCTTTATTACTATTAGGATCTTCTGTTTATGCTAAACATGTACAATCAGGATTTTCTAGTGTGATAAAACATACCTAATTCCCCAGTTCAGAAAACCAGCTCACTGCCTTACTACAGCCTTCAGTTTCTACACTGCAAGACCTAAGCATCTTATGTACTTTTTCCCCAGAGACTGGTTTCTACAGCAGTCAAAAATCTTACCTACAAACTGGAAAGGGAAAAACAACCAATTAGCCTTGAATGCCCTCTTTATGCTAATTTGTGTTGTGAAGTTTTTCCTTTCCACATTCTAAATTCTGTTTAGTTTTTAAACAGGTTTTGACATCGGCACCATTTTAATTACTGAAAGGCTTCCCATGGGTGTGTAACTATTTTACCCGTCACCATATACTCTAGGAAAATTTTTAACATCATACATTGTATTCCAAATTAAGACAGTTATTATTTTGGAACAGTAGGAAGTAATAATAGATGCCTAATATCTCAGAATCTAAAAATAAAGATTAGCCCCACAACTTTACAAATAATTATCATTAACTGTAAAATAACAGCTTCTTTTTCCAACAACAATATGAAAACTTGCATTATCTAATGTTCTAAAGTCCAGCAGTAGCTTGCCCTGTTGATTTTGAAAGCTGATGCCACCAAATTGTGTTATGAAAAAATGGAGCACCCTGGTCACCAGTGAAACACTATAAGCACTCCAGATTTAACCTATGGAAGAAGCTCTAAAAACTGAACATTCCATCTTCAAATGCCTGTAGAAAAATGTCTCAATCTGTAAAGTCTCAAGTTTGTCTTTTCCAAATTAGGCAGCCTATTATATACCCTTCCTCAGCATCTTCATTTCAAGGATGGAGATTCATAAAAGGCAACAGTTATCCTCTAGGAGAGTAGGGCTGTGTCTACTATACCTGTAAGAGACCCAGCACCCAGCAGGGGGGTGAGACCCAGCACCCAGCACACGCTATCTCCACCAACCATGCTGGCTGGGTCATGGCTCCTACATCATCTTCACTAGTGAGTCTCTATCTTACAAAAATATAAAGCACCCTTAGTAACTGTGCTGTAATGAGGACCTCAGTTCTTTTCCATCATTAGCTTCACCAATGAAAAACATGTTTGTCTACACTTCAGTCTTAAAAGAGTCCAAATAAATGCTTTGAAGGAATAAAATGTTTACATTTCAAAAGCATACAATTCTTACTGTCCTCTACCACGTAAAATGGCATTCACCACTCAAATCCGCTCAGAACGCAACTACTCACCACCCAACAAACAAGTAACAGCATTCTCCACCTCCAGTTTAATCTCAAAACAACAGCTGAAACACTTATTTTGAAACTTAAATTTGATCATTTCCCACCTCTGCTTAAAACTCTCCAATGCTTATTGATAGTAAGCCCAAGATTTCACATGGCCTCCCAAGGTCTGGACCTAAAACAGGGATCTGAAAATTGGCCCATGGTCCACCACCTTTGTATACAGCCCACAGAGGTAAGAATTTTACATTGTTGAGTAGTTGGAAAAAATCCAAAGGTAGAATATCTTGTGACATGTGAAAATTATATGGAGTTCCATCCAACTCTGATGTCCACAAATGAAGGTCTACTAGAACACAGCTGGGTTCATCGTATGCATGGCTGCTTTGTGCTACACCTTTTTGGTATGGCCTTTGAAGCAAATCTAAAATATTTACACTCTGGTTCTTTACACAAAGTGTTTGCAGACTCCTGCCCTAAAGGACCAGTGTATATAAGGAATTAACTTCTCCCTACACATCTACAATGGAAGCACTGAGAAAACACTCACTCAAATTATCTGCTAAATCTTCAGGTACAGATGAGGAGTCCTGGCTGAGAAAAGGTATCCGGCTACTGGACCAGCCACAGCGGCTCCCCTGCAGTTCATGACCACGGCCAGTATTCTCCCTTCTAAACCTTTACCAGTATCAACCAATTTCCTCTGGGCTCAGGATGCTTCTCCAAAACATCCTAGGCTTGCTTCCTCACCTCCTTCAAGTCTTTACTCAAAGGTCATCTGTCAGGTGGGGCCTTCCCTGACCATCCTACTCAAAGCTGCACTCCACTCCATTTCGCCTTTCTAGTCTATTTTTCTTAATGCTTCACACCAACCAATTGAGCACACCAATTAGTGCTTGCTGGTAACTGAGAGAACGTGAGCTCGAGAGGCTGGGACTTTTGTCTGTTGTGTTCACCACTCCATATATCCCTACCACTTAGACGAGTGCATGACATATAGTATGTGTTCCAAAAAAATAACAGTAATAACTGAATTGTATTGAAATACAGTAGTCCTCCCTTTTCCAAGATTTCACTTTCCATAGTTACCCCATGGTCAGCTTCAGTTGGAAAATATTAAATGAAGAATTACATAAACAAGTAATTCCTAAGTTTTAAATTATGCGCTGTTCTGAGTAGCATAATTTAAAATTCTCATGCCATCCCATTCCGTCCTGCCCTAGAAGTGAATCATGCCTTTGTCCAGCGTATCCATGCTGTCTATCCACCTACTGCCCTCTTGGTTATCAGATCCATTGCGATGCTATCACAGTGCCTGGGTTCAAGTCACCCTTACTTTACTTAGTAATGGCCACAAAGCATAAGAGTAGTGAAGCTAGTTCAGATATGGCAAAGAGAAGCCATAAGCACTACCTTTAAGTAAAAAGGTGAAAGCTTTTGACTTCTTACGGAAAGAAAAAAAAAATCGTATACTGAGGTTACTAAGATCTATGGTACGAACAAATCTTCTATCCATGAAAATGTGAACAAGGAAAAAGAAATTCCTGATAGTTTTGCTGTCTCACCTCCAACTGCAAAAGCTGCGACCACAGTTGTAAGTGCTCAGTTAAGGTGGAAACGACATTACATTTGTGGGTGGAAGAAATGAGCAAACACGTGTTTTAGTTGATGGCCAGACACATGTTCCAACTGATGGCAGCTGGGCTTGGTACTACCCGCGGTTTCAGGATCCACTGGGGAGTCTTGGAATGTATCCCCTAAAGCTAAAGTGGGACTACTGTATATGCAATGATACACTTCCCCATTAACAGCAAACGTGATGCATTATACCAGAATAATCGACAATATCAAACAAAAATATACAAGGGAATGGACTATTATTTGGTAACCACCCTTAACCAAACTACTGTTTAATAAACTTGATTTCATCATTCAGCCTTCAGTGAGTCTTAAAATCAAATGATACTACCAATGTGAAACAAGGTGAGCCTTCTAATTCTTCTTTCACAGAAATTAACTTCTACAAAACCTAGTCAGTGTTTAGATATTGTCCTAAAGCTGGAAATAAAATGAAAAGTAAGCCATAGTTACTGCCCTCAAGAAAATTAAACTTAGCTGGGATTTCAACAGACTACCAAATAACTATAGAAAAATTTGTATAGTAAATGATGTCACTAAGGAGTCACAAGAAGCAAGTCATGGTCTGGGAAAGCAAAGGAGGAAATATTTGGGTTTGACTTTATAAAATAAAAAGACTTGCCAGGCAAAATGCATAATGGGCACCCGGCAATGAAGGCTCAGTAAGCAAGTAAAGGGTTGGGGAGCAACAAAAGGTTCTGGAAGGCAGTGTCCAGAGGGTGTGAGCAGGAAAAGGTACAGGAGATACAACGGGAAGTCTGTAAAAATAAACAGAAACTTCACACTGCAGGAAATGCAAACTCACAGAAGGTTTTAAGAAACTGGACTATAGACAATTTAGGCCTTCCTCTCAGGGTGGAGGAACTGAGGAATACAACCTTGCAGTGCTACACCAAAGGAAGATCCCTGAAAACCAAAGGGAAAGTAAATTCTATTTGAAGTAAGGTAAGCTATGTCTTGAAATTCTAGGAGTGAAAATAATTTAAGCTGGAAAGTTCCTGAAGAGCCATTAATAACATACACTTTCATTTTTCATGAGCCAAGATTATATAGGGACCTCCAGGTCTCCTCGGTTTGGCTTTTACAATCAAGAAACCCGAAACCGTACTTCATCTCCCTTTAGCTCAGATCCATATCTAAGCATGGGCTAATAAAACCTGCAAGCAAAACAATGCTGTCATAGAACTCAGGAGGCCCCTAAGGGACCACATCAGTCCGACAATCTCTAGGCCTACCTGGGCCCACTGGAGGCGAACGAGAGGAATTCTAGTAGATGGAAAGGAAAGAACCTCGGCTTGGAGGGACTGTGGCTGCAGATGCCAAGAGCCTCGGCTATATGGCAGGCGCAAGGAGACCCAGGTTTAGAGGGCAGGCTGGGCAGGGGCACTGGGCGAATGGGGAACAGGGGCGCTGCGGAACACTCCTGGAACACCCAAGGTCCCCCAGTCCCTGCCCTCCTCCCCCTCACTGTTCCTAGCTCGGCGGCACAACCCACAGAGCATAAGCCGGACCAAACCCTCGACAGGACGTCAGAACATGAGTAAGTCGGCGCCCTCTTACCCAGACACACAAACAGCACGGACTTGGTAACCGGCTCCGCCATCTTCCCGCGCGTAGTGGCGCCAAGAAACCGCTTAGTGACGCACGGCGACGCGGCGCATGCGTACTGCCAGCCTCTCGCCCCGCGCGCCTGCGCATTCCCGCACTAACGCCACCAGGGCAGCGCGCGTGGAAGCCGCGCCTGCGCAATCGTCTGGGGCGGTTCTGCGACGCACGAGGGCAGGCGGGGCCGAGTAGGGCGGGGCCGAGTAGGGCGGGGCCACGGGTCACGTCCAGGGGCGGGGCCGTGAGTCACCTACTGGGACAGGTCCCCAAGTACCCTAGAGGTGGAGGTTCCGTCGCCTACAAGGACGGGCCGCCGATCACCTGCAGGGACGGGGCTGAGGGTCACCTGGAGGAGGAGGGGCCGTGAGGGGGGTAGTCACCTAAAGGAGGTGGGGCCCTGGGGTCACCTGTAGGGGCGGGGCCGCCGGTCCCCCTGGGGCTGGGCGGTGGGTCACCTGTAGGGGCGGGCTGGGGCCGCCTGGAGGAGGAGGGGCCGCGGGTCACCTGCAGGGGCGGGGCCGCGGGTCACCTGTAGGGGCGGGGCCGCGGGTCACCTGCAGGGGCTGGCCGTGGGCCGCCTGGAGGAGGAGGGGCCGCGGGTCACCTGCAGTGAGGGCTCAGGCCTCGCGGCTCCGAGGGTGGCCCACCTGGGTTGGAGCACAGCGCGAGTCCCGCGCACGCGGCTGGCTGTGGGGCGCGCCGTCAGAGCTCGCGGAGAGGGGCTGGGCGGGCGCAGCCGGGAAACCTGCCTTGAGCCCTGCGCGGTCCACGCGGGACCAGGGCGGCCTTAGGCCTGGGCGCCCCCCGAGACCCCCGCCCCCAACGCCGGAGCCGCCGCTGGCCCCTGGGCTTTTCGATCCTAAAGATCGAGCGGTTCCGAAGTCCCCAAGGGCTCAGGCCCGAGCGCCGCCCGGCGGGCGCGTGGGATTTGTCCAGCGAAACGTGCACGGCAGGTGTCCTGCGCCGCCTCTTCCTTCACCTGCCGCAGGTGCGCGCTCGCTGGGGCCTCCGCGTCCGCGGGGCGGGGCCGTGCGCCTTCCTCTTCCTGGGCAGCCTCGGGACCGGGCGCCGCGGCCGGCGGGCACCAGTGAGTACCGGGGGGCCACCTGTCCGGCCGCCCCCCACTCTGAGGAGCGGTGCGGAACGGGGCGGCGGCGGGAGGAGGAGGACGGAGACCCCGTGCAGCCTCTGGGGTTTCTAGGTCGCGCGCCTAGTCACCGCAAACCGCCCAAAGCTCACATAGAAAGTTTCCAGGACTTTCTTGACCACAGCGAATTTGATTGAAGTTTAGCCACAGTCTTCCATTTTTAGAAAAGCTGTTCCGAAGTTTGCAATGTTGGCGATGGTCGTGTTACTTATAACTTCCTAATATTTGACCGGCCAGGTGTCAGCGACCATCCTTCGGCTCCACGGAGGCGGCTCTGGAGCTTGGGTCGGATGCGCGCCCTTGGAATGCGCTTGGAACCCGCGGCAGGCGCGGGAGGAGGTCTTGGCTAGGGCGCCGGCGAAGCTCGAGTTTGCCCGCCTCGGCCCCCCGGCCTGGAAAAGAAGGGCCAGCCCCCCACACCTGGCGCTGTGGCCGCGGGGCGGCGGGGCGAGCGCGGGGCGCGGCGACCACGGGACCTCTGAGATTGCTTTTCCTTATTGAAGGAAGTGTGAAACGGCCCTGAATCGGTTGACCACCGTTAGGAAGTGGGATTTACGCTGTTGGCCGAAGTGTGTCCTTCTCACTTCGTTTGAACCCACATGCCCATTCCCCCGCGGAGTTGGAAAGTGACACGAGGGTGCTCCGCGAGGTGCCCGGTTTCTCTTCTGCTTACAGGAGATGCCTGCCCTGATTTCTTGTTTTCCTAGGTGTTTTTATTGAGATGTAGGGAATATCTGAATTAGTAATGACTTGGAAAATCTGTACACACAGAGAGAGAAATAACAGGTCTCGAGGCTGAGGTGCTGTTTACTCCCGTGGGCTGACCTGTTATTGAAATGCTTGTGCAGGAACTGATGTTTGCAGATTACTATGTTGGAGTTTAAAATGATCAAAGTGATAGCCTCCATCCTGTCTATCGTGTTTAAGGAGAATTGGTTATGTGGTTCACTAATGTTCTATTTAAGCAAAATTTCTCTAAAACTAGTAAATGCTACCCCTCATCTTTTGTAAATTAAAAAAAAAAAGTTTAAAATGATGCTTGCTGATCAACAGTGATTTGATAGTTTTGTTCTGTTTAGGAAATCTTTATTGTCAGGAGATTTCTCATTCCGCAGAAATAAGGATCCACACAATCCTAGGAAGTTGATGCAGTCGAAGGGAGAGAACTGCTGCGCCGACTCTGCTGAGGGCGTCACAAGTCCTTGTGCACGCTGGCTTATTTGCCAGTGAGTGGCGTCGTGATAAGACCTAATTCTCTGCTCTTTGAGACCTAAAAAATTTTCTTTGGGAAGAGCCCGTTTTTTTACTAAAAAGGTCAGACCAGTGTGGCATGTGTGGACCTGCTCTGTACCAAGATCACACTCTTCAGTTGGAGAAGAGGGATAGCAGGAATAAAGGGCTTTCCCGTCTCCGGAGGGAGCAGAGAAATCTCTGTCCTCTCCGTTCCCCAGCCACAGCCTGGGGCTGGGGGACTGGAAACAAGCTTAGGCTGGCACTTGATGTTCAAATGGGAGTCTGGTTTAAAGTTTGACCCAGGAAGTTAATGATCTGACCAGAGAGACAGGTTTTTATTTTGAGAACTGACAAGCTTTGTCTCCTTAAAACAAAGGAAGTAGTTAAACCAAGGCCACAGAAAGGCAAGAATTGACTTAAGAAACAAAGGCCATATTTGTCAAGCAGTGGGGTTCAAAATACAATTTTGTTCATAAAAGTAGCTTAAGGCATCATTTTAAAGCCTTTTTAAAGATTAGATAGATACACTTTCTTTTGGCTAAGATTTCTTCAATTTATTCTAAGTATATCTTTAGGAGCATTCCAGTTCCTTTGATCTTAGATGGAATTTTAGTGAATTAAACTCCATTTCACATAAAGTGTAACATTCAATAATTTGATGAATATATATTCAATTAAAACATAGAGAACCAAATTTACTAAGCTTACTTTCCTATAAGTATTGCTTTCATAATAGAGTCCTTTGAAGCAAATAATATAAGGGAAGCAAAATTTGGGAATTGAGCTCTGGTAATGATGGTGCTGGAGAGGGGCTCTTGGGTCTTCTTGCTTTCATTCCTGACCCTTGGTGAAGTTTAGATTGGAAATAGTAGTCACCTTTCTCTCCTCAGGTGGCAATTTACTCCAAGTAGGATTCTAATGTCCCTCTGTGACCCCAGTGACCCTAGCACTGAGTTTTTAGACCTGTGATCAATACCTAAGATTATTTCCAGATCTTTTGCTGATTCATCTTTCCTGTATTTTATAAACCCTTCTAGTTTAAAAAATGTTTTACTATAAAAAATTTCAAACATTTAAACTTTTTTTTTTTTAAAGAAAACTTTATCTGAAAGTTTCTTAGCTTGAGGTTTGGCAGCCACCCTTTTCTTAGGAAAAAACTTAAATATTTATAGAGATTTTGCATGATTCAAGGGACTTAAGACATTTATGAGAGTTCAGATGCAAACCATGATGTGAGGTGAAAGAGTCTTCATTAGTAATGACCTGCATCTTCATAACCTCAGCAGTATGACAGAAAGGGCCATCAGCATTCTGATCAGGTCATGCTCTGTATGCCTTATGGCACAGCAGAGGAAAAATGGGTGAGCCATCATTTGATGTTGAGGATGGGATTTGGGACTCATCTAAAATTTTATTTGCATATATTTTTTGTTGTTGTTGTTCTGACAGAGAAATTCACTGCATGTAACTATGAGCAGGCAGGATTTTATCAGAAGTTTAATAGAATCTGTAGTTCAGCTGACACACTGAAGATGTCTTCACTGTGACCAGCCTTGTCAACAGCAGGTTCACAGTGACACGGGCTGGGTCTAGGATGGGTCATGCAGTTGGTGGCCCTGCGAGGCTGAATCTGATTCCCAAGCCCAGTGGCTCTCTTCCTGTGCTTACAGATCAGGCCATGACTTTCCCTACTGCAGGATGTTTGTAAGACCAACTCTCAACTAAGGAATTTGCTTATTTGACTGCTCTAATACTGCTTGGTTGAGAGAGTTCAAAGTAGAAAGTCTTCTGAGGGGATAAGATTTATGTATTATTTACAGTGCTTCAGTTGTATCAGAAAATCTGGTCTAAACTGGCTTTAACAGAAAAAGATGTTGCTGGTCCATGTGACAAACAGGTTCTGGCTTTGCAGAGCCCGGGTTCTTTCTGCATCTCCTCCCAAGCTCCCCTACTGAGGCTTTGCTCTCAGAATCTCCCCTTGTAGAGACAAAATCCCATAGCAAGTGGAAACAGAAGTGCCTTGGAATATGTTCTTCTGGCAGCTCCTGCAAGTCCCTCATCAGATGCTGGCATTGGACCAGCTTTAGTCATAAAGTTCTGCTGGGGCACAACGAGGAATGCTGGCCTGATACAGGCTCATCCACTCCACTCCCGGTACTATGGCTGCAGCATCGATGGAAGCAGGCAAGCTATGCTGCCTCTGAAATAAAGTAGATGAAATATTCAGCCCAGAGCAAGTTTCCACTCCAGGGAACTAATTCAAATGTATCAAGCATCTAGATATATGTATAATTTGTGTATACGTATATAATTAAAATGTATTGAGTATCTAGATATATGACCAAGGTACTTTTAGGGAGTCACAAATTGGTAAAAAATACAGTTCTGGTCTGTAAGGATTGTACAGTTTAGTGGTAGAAAAGGTGAGAGTACAAAGGAAAGAGGAAGGAAAGACAAATGTACAGCTTATCCCAGATCACAAACCTGAGTGCCAGAAATAGAAACATTTTATCATGAGACCTCATTTCCAATCAAGCCTGGGCTCCCTTTCTCCCTGGAGGCACTGGCGTTTCAGGTGCGGATGAATAAGAGGGGTCGGGTGTGTCTTAGCTACCCACAGATTTGCTTGTTTGTCTTTGGTTATTGTTAACCCTAAAACACTGCTGATAACGCCGCAGAATTGGAC